TGCGGAGAATGGCAGCCCTCACTGATGATGCCGACTACGATGCCGGCGAAACGTTTGAGAATGTACCAAGTCCATTCTCTGATGCTAGGAATCATGACAACTACTATAGCAGACGACTTCAGACAAGGTTCGTTCTACTAAGTTACCCTGACAACAAGCCTAAGTTGCGACAGCGAGATTAACCCACTTCTAAAAAGTGGTTTGATTGAAGATATGAAAACCAAGATGGTCTTGCCTTTGGTATGGTCCCACTTCTATAGATTGGTTTAACTTCGTTTTCGCAACTTGGTCATTTTCTGAGGGCGACCCAGTTAGACACAGCTTTTCCGAGGTCCTCTGTTATAGTAGTTATGATAAGTCTTGTCGTTTGACAGTGGACTTGGGACATTACCAGACGTTTTGCCAGCATTGTTGGTAAGTCTTGCCATTCTCTGCACAAAGCTACCACTCATCAAACGGACAAGTGGAGTTAATCCCTTGATCAATTTTCCAACGAAAAGTTGAGTTATTACTCCTTATTCTGTTCAAACGAAGTCTGGAGTAAGTTGTCTGCCATAATCTGCCTTTAGTAGCACGTATACAGTGACCTTAAGGAGTAGAGCGCCTAGACCCTGATTGTCATGCTTTCACATATCAGGCATTGCCTCGAATGCACATCTCTGTGATTGAACCCGTCTGCCCTGAACAAGCTGAAAGTCTTTCTTTGGTCTTCTGCTGCATTTCTAGTGGATTTCTAGCCAATTTGGATCCAATCTACTAGCCATAACACCGAATTCCAGTGGCGAAATTTGATTAACTATTATTGCTTAAATTAATTAAGGGAGTGAGATTTATCCCATTGTCAAACTCCATTTTAATAGTGCAAATATGATTTTTTTTTCTCACCATAGGCAATTTCCCCCCAAACAACATGGAATGCGAGATATAAGTAAGTGGAAGAATATCCTCAAGTAAACGCAGGAAAATACGATATGCGCAAATTATAGGAAAAAAATAACCAAGGGGTTTAGGCTCTATATGTACACCATAAGGACGTACATTCACGGATGTTTATTCAAACGTTCTAATTGTTTAAAATGAAATCGAAAATAACACACGATGGGGGATACTGGACTAGTAGCGAGGACTAGGATAGTGAGCGTGTATTGTAAAGATTTAGTAGCTCACCTAGTTTCGTTTGAATTATGCGATTGTCATATAAAAACGGCTGACTTCGATCTTGGCTGGCAACCTGACGAGAAGAAGAGTCTTTTTTACTGGTATGTGTGGCAGATGTCGACGAGGCCCTCCCAAGGCCTCCAAAAAGATATCTAACTACTCGCTGTCCTCCGAAAGGCCATACATCCGAATCGTCGCTGGCTACCGCGTCTACAAAACCGTCGCGCTCTAGTGCTACACATTGGGCTTCTGCTTCTTGTGGACTGACCAGATAAGGAATACCGAAGAGGCGGAGTAGGCGCTGTGTGGAATGAACGGTGGGTAGAAGATGGTAGGAGGGAATGCAGAAGATGAGACTATACAAATTTGTGAATGACAAGGAAATGCTTGAGGGCACATGTTTATGTGTACGCGCATGAATCAATGGAGTGATGCAAATTCTATTGGCCTTGATATGCTCTGCAAAGCATATAAATGGCCTCCTATGGAAGTATATAAAAACCTTTTTGGTCCTCTTCACGTTGAAGGTGATGGCATCCTCCAATTGACAAGCATGGTGGCTCACTTGAAGAGAGACTATCAAGCACATATCTTTTAGGCTGTACGGCTCAAATCAACATTATGCCTACGTTACCTAGATGCTAATGTGTAGCCCTTATTCTCGTAGTCAACAATCAATAAATGATTAATTATTAACGATAAATGAGCGGAAAGTAAAGCTTACATTTCAAAAATGTCTCAGTATTTGGAAATTATTCAAAGAATATCCATTTTATGGCGATTAATCACAGGCTCTACTAGATTATATCTTTTACTTAATGACTAACATACATTTACATTTGCATAAGCTTTGGTGAAGGTTTAGGTTTGTGAGACAAGAAGTGTATCGGTTTTCGAAATAAAATGATGATAATAACGATAATAGATATGCCGAAAAATGTAAAACGATTAATAAAAATAGAGACCCACCTGAGCCTCGGCGATGCATATATCAGTGGTATTTCTGGCCTGTCGATCTAATCTATTTAGTTCGGCACATAGGATATCATCATCCGAATGAAACTCCTCTGGATAAGGAGATTCCTCATTCTCCTTCCCATTCTGCTGGCGGTACTTGACTTCTTTATTTTCGTTCTCATG